TGACCCTGCACATTTAGAGGATGTTTGGCTCAACCTGCTGCTGTGAAGCAGGATTCTCCACCATGAACAGAATCAACAATAAATCTGGATCCAGGCTCAAAATGAGCACCTTGATATGTGCTTGAGAATGGCTTAGTCTCCATTTAAACCCAGGTTTAAAGCCTTGCAGGGCAGCCTAAAGCCCACTGCCAACATTAAGACAGAGAAAAGAAAGAAAATAACAAACAATCAGTTCAGGGGTTTGAGAAAATATGGGAATCAGGAAATAGTCCTTATACCAAACTGAACAATTGTTGTTAGCTACTTTAAAAATATTTTAGATTTTACAATGGAATAATTTAATTTTTTTTTTTATATTTTCTTATTTAAAAAGTAAGTGTATAACATGGATGCATAAAAAACTCATTTTATTTCAGTGTTAAATTATGTTTAAAGTATCAGATTATAATTAAAAATATCTCCAGACCTTTACTGGTTGATGATTTTCTATATTCGGACCCCGCTGATTATTAATTGTTTACCCCTGTTTTAGAGTGTCTATACACCAGTTAATGGTTAATCAATTATCTCAATAAAGGATTAATCCAATAAATTAATTCATATATATATATAGAACATAAAAAAGAAAAATTATTATTATTTTTTTTTTTTCTAGGATACTTATTTCTGGAGAGATATTACTTTTTTTTAGAATGCTGACTTTTTTTTAAGATGGTACAAATACAACAATAATAAAAAATAATAAAAAAAATACTAAACTTTTTTTTTTTTTAACTGTACATATATATATGTACAGTTTAAAATAAAAAAGTTTAGTATTTTTTATTATTGTTGTATTTTTACCATATTAACAATAAGGTCATCATTCTAAATTCAGTAACAGGATCCTAGGGGGAAAAAAAGACCATAAACATAAAAAATCTTGTAGAATCTTGTTATTAGAAGATGTTATAAATGTCTAAGGATGGGTGTGGTCCTTAAAAAGTAGCAGTTAATAAGTGAACATGTTTCCTAAAACAGAAATGTAAGGAAAGCCTTTACCCTCTCCCATTCACGAGCTCACAGCGTACGCTCTGCCGCCACTGAATCACTGAGAGCAGTATGGTGGTTGACAGAAGGGACAACAGACACGTTCAAGTTTGGCCCTTAAACTGACTCCGGAGCCACCGAAGTGAAACTCTATTACAACGGCCTCTCCTGCTGCGATCCATCAGCACTCATGGCCCTGCGCACACGCATGCCATAAACAGGAGTGTTTCTGTTTCAGACAAATTGTGCTAATGTGGCATTTTAAAAAGTACGCTGTTCCTGAGTGTTGCTCTTTACATGCTCTTTTTCTTTCATCCCTTAAAACACGACGGCAGTTGTTGCCGTTTTCAAGGCAGCGGTTGGTCTCGTGGTAAGAATATATCACTTTTCCCATCAGACTTAATCCAATCAACACCTCCAGAAAGTGAAGCCAGGCTTTCATGTTTTATCGTACAGTGGCAGACAGCTGTTAGAGCGAGAAATTTAAGAAACAGAGCAAAAGACATTCATGACAGATGATTTTTATTCAGAGCTACAGCAGCGCAGACTCACAGTGGCGCAAATGTATGCAGAGGAATAGCACGACCGAAATAAGGCAGGAGCATGTCAGCTTTAATTGAGCTATCAAAAACACGTGTTTCTAAATTTGTTGCTAAACTTGTGTTAATTTTATTGAATCTCAAAGTTATTCAGTGTGTAAAGCACTTTTCTGGCTCAGTCAGGACATTTACAGAACTGTAGAAGTGTTGAAAGGGATTTAAGCTTCATGTTTGGGGCGTGGCGGCAGTTTTGGGGTTAAGTGCAGGACCCATGTGTAGAGGCCATGGTCATCAATGCGGCGGTCACTGGTTGGTGACCTTTGCCGCATGTCTTCCTCCTTTCTATAATCCTGTTTCCTGTCTGTAACTTAAATAAAGTCCACTAGAGGTAAACAAACACCACTAAAATGGAATGCTTTAAAAAATTAAATATTTGATGCACATCTTAATTTCGACTTTCACAGAACAAAAATTCTAGGTTACAGGTTTGGAGCCTGATGAGAAACAGATTTAGCTTACTAAAGAAAATAAATATTCAACTAGCTTCAGGCCATGTTTACAGTAAAAGTGTTCTTCATCACTTATGAGTAATTGAAATATTTTATGACCACAATCCAATCAGCATCACTGCTGAAATTTTAGGGTTGAACTGTGTTTGTTTTTTCCTTTTAGGAGGTGAAATTAGGACACTTCCAGCAGGAGAGACAGGAAATGGCAGGAAGTCTTTCCTAAACTGTTTATAAAGCCATGATGTTATGCAGATTACGGTTAGATTCTGGTAGCTTCCAGCGGATAAACATTGGGAGAGGAAATAAAGATACTGTAGGCCAGTGGTTGGATTTCCATATAGTTTTGTAACATTTCCAGTAGTCAATAGGTTGTCTTTGACTTTCTGCTCATCCAAAGGATTTTGTATTCATCCATCCATCCATCCATCCATCCATCCATCCATCCATCCATCCATCCATCCATCCATCCATCCATCCA